CTTGTGGGACACTCTTGTAGGACACTCTTGTAGGACACTCTTGTGGGTCACTCTTGTAGGACACTCTTAAGGGACACTCTTGTGAGACACTCTAGTGGGACACTGTTGTGGGACAGTCTTGTAGGACACTCTTGTGGGACACTCTTCTGGGACACTCTTGTAGGACACTCTTGTAGGATACTCTTGTGGGTCACTCTTGTAGGAAACTCCTGGGGGCACTCTTGTAGGACACTCTTGTGGGACACTCTGTGGGACACTCTTGTGGGACACTCTTGTAGGACACCCTTGTGGGACACTCTTGTTGGACACTCTTAGAGGACACTCTTGTGGAACACTCTTCTGGGACACTCTTGTGAGACACTCTTGTAGGACACTCTTGTGGGACACTCTTGTGAGACACTCTTGTGGGACACTCTTGTGGGACACTCTTGTAGGACACTCTTGTAGGACACTCTTGTAGGACACTCTTGTGGGTCACTCTTGTAGGACACTCCTAAGGGACACTCTTGTGAGACACTCTAGTGGGACACTGTTGTGGGACAGTCTTGTAGGACACTCTTGTGGGACACTCTTGTAGGACACTCTTGTGGGACACTCTTGTAGGACACTCTTGTAGGACACTCTTGTGGGTCACTCTTGTGGGGCACTCTTGTAGGACACTCTTGTAGGACACTCTTGTGGGACACTCTTCTGGGACACTCTTGTAGGACACTCTTGTAGGATACTCTTGTGGGGCACTCTTGTAGGAAACTCCTGTGAAACACTCTTGTGGGACACTCTTGTGGGACACTCTTATAGGACACTCTTGTGGAACACTCTTGTGGGACACTCTGTGGGACACTCTTGTGGGACACTCTTGTAGGACACTCTTGTGGGACACTCTTGTGAGACACTCTTGTGGGACACTCTTGTGGGACACTCTTGTAGGACACTCTTGTAGGACACTCTTGTGGGTCACTCTTGTAGGAAACTCTTGTGGGACACTCTTGTGGGACACTCTGTGGGACACTCTTGTAGGATACTCTTGTGGGACAGTCTTGTAGGACACTCTTGTGGGATACTCCTGTAGGACACTCTTAAGGGACACTCTTGTGAGACACTCTAGTGGGACACTGTTGCGGGACACTCTTGTGGGGCTCTCTTCCAGCTCCCCAGATACTCCGCGTACTAAAGGTGTACTACAAGGTCGCCAGTTCTCAGCTTCCAGCTCCCCAGATACTCCGCGTACTACAGTTGTACTACAAGGTCGCCAGTTCTCAGCTTCCAGCTCCACAGATTGCTCCGCGTACTCAAGTTGTACTACAAAGTCGCCAGTTCTCAGCTTCCAGCTCCACAGATTGCTCCGCGTACTGAAGTTGTACTACAAAGTCGCCAGTTCTCAGCTTCCAGCTCCACAGATTGCTCCGCGTACTAAAGTTGTACTACCAAGTCACCAGTTCTCATCTTCCAGCTCCCCAGATACCCCGCGTACTAAAGTTGTACTACAAAGTCGCCACTGCTCGCCTGCATTTTGCGTGCTCGACACGCACGATCTCCGCAGAGGGTTGTGCGGGCACCGGACAAATCGCACTCTCGTCTGCATTTCGCGCACTCGACACGCGCGATCTCTGCAGAGGGTTGCGTGCGCGTGGGACAAATCGCACTCTCGCCTGCATTTCGCGCACTCGACACGCGCGATCTCCGCAGAGGGTTGCGCGCGCATGGGACAAATCGCACTCTCGCCTGTATTTCGCACACTCGACACGCACGATCTCCGCAGAGGGTTGCGCGTCAAGTCTCCAAAACGAGCGTTTCGTGCGAGACTTCCTCAAAAACTCACACGCCAAAGTCTGCAAAACGAGCGTTTCGCACGAGACTTCCTCCAAAAGTCGAGCGGAAACACCCATCGGAGCACACACATCACGCAGCCCTGCCAAGCAGTTTCGCGATTCCAGCCCCTCCAAACAACATCCGCTCACACGCCAATCCCAATGTGACAGCGACATTCACCTCCACCACAACTCACAACCTCACGATTCCCTGCGCCTGCCACGAGAATCGCACTTCCACGCCTCAAAACCCGCACAAAGTCCTGCGCCTGCCACGAAAAGTGACAATATCATCGCGCGTGAGCTTCAACAAAATTTGCACCACCCCACACGTTTGGAATGATTTCGACCCGTTCTGAGCACACTCCCATCCACCAAAATCGGCATTTCAGCTGAGACTTGTCACGAAAGCCGAGCTTCGATGCCACAAACTGAAACGCAAATCCCAATGGCACGGCCACATCCAACACCCCAAAAACATGACCCTCCAAACGCTAATCCCAATGGAACTGCGCAGCAATCTGCGGATCTCACAAAACGCTGCGCCTGTGCAGCGAAATGCATCACGTTTCTTGCGCGACATGTTGGTTTCATGCACATGCAAAAGCTTCCCCCAATGGCAGCAAATTTGAGACGCGACGACGACGAGAGACGACGACAGACGACGAGAGACGACGACAGACGACGAGACGACGCAAGCCACGCGAACACAGCTCCAACCCCCAGACCCCCAACTATAAACGGGAACCCTTCGCTACGCATTCGGGAAAAAAAAGAAAACACAGCTTTCATCTATCCTTTCATAATGTAGACTCTTGATTACTAACCCCCCCGGCCCCATATGAAGAGGCGTTTCAATTCAAATGGAGGGGGATATTAATCAAGAGTCTACATGATGTCCAACTGTCCCGATCTGTCAGGTCAGTTGGACGACTCCTCCCATCCGTCAAGGCGTCTCCCGGTGATTGCACAAATTCCCCGGCCACGCCAGCACGGCGGAGGCCACCACCAATTCCTCAGCGCGGCACGAGGCACCCCCTGAAACCAAGCTCAGCTCAGCGCCTGGAGCTCAGCGCATCGTAAAGAGACGCCCCCGAAAACGGGGAACATGAAGAGACTCGTTTTTTGGGGGGCGGGGGGTCACAATGGACTCATATGGTCAAATGCCAGACTCCTCTCTTGTGAAATCGATGGCTCGATAGCTTGAAACTTAGGTCCAAAAATTCCGCAGAGCCACTGCAAAGCCTACGTTTGCAGTTTTATAGCTTTGCGTGGCCTTCGCGTAGGGGAACTACTACACGTAAGCACCGCGGTAGCCTACCTCTGCAGCAAATGCGACCTCGCGTACCCTCTTGCGGAGTTCCCCTTACCGCGTAGCCAGCGCGTAGCCTACCTTTCAGCAAAAACGGCCTCGCGTAGCCTCCACGAAGGCGATTTCAAAAAAAGGCGCTGGTTTCCAACAAACAATCCCTGTTTGTCTGTCGGAACGCATTTCGCTCACAAAACACACTAGTTGTAAACCCGTTTCATTCTTTGTTCCCGGGCCTCTTTAAGCCACAGCCAGAAGATAGGCTGAGAGGCTCTTCAAATCTGATTGGGCTCACGGGCCTCCCTTTGACCAAGAATAATTGCTGTGCCCCAAAAGAAGACTCAACAAACTGCGATTGTTCGTCATGTCCTGCCAGTTTCCGGGTTTTTATGTGAGGGAATGAACCCCACAAGATTGCAAAAGAGCGGGATGACATCTGCCAAACGTCTCCTTCTCCGTCTTCCTGCCCATAGGGCGTGGTGTAGATCGCATAGCCTCGCCATGAGAATCGGAGAAGAATCGACTCGCCATGAGAATCGGAGAAGAATCGACCGTTCAGGCTCTGAGGACATCACGCGGTGAAGACATCACACAAACGTGCCGCGTGCAAACGTCGGGTATGGAAAGGTCCTCGTAGAAAAGGATTACACGTGAGGCTGCCAGGCTGGACATCACGCACATCAGAGAACCAGAGCTTGGTACAAGCTTGTGGAGGTTCTAAGCGAATTTGCAAATGAGCAAGCGGGCAACCCCAGAAGCCTCCGAACAAAATCCTGCAAAGTGGGTACCGGGTACCTTTGGTAATTTGGGCCTGACAATCTTTTGGGACTGTTGGCCACACACAAAACTCTGCATAAAAAGAAAATAGACTAAACTACCCCCCGTGTCACGGCCCGTATCCAACCTGGGAATATCTAGCCAAGAAGCCGTTGCCATCTGGCAGCGGCCTCACCTTCTCGACATTTGTATTGAACTTGGTGACGGGTCCTCAGCGTCGGCGAGAATTCTTCAGAATCCGCAGGTTGCTTTACATATCAAAGAGCGCAAAAGCCTCCGTTGATCAATTGGGACCATCATAACAGGGATGCAACATAGAGCAATTGTAATGATTAATATAGAATACTCCTCCAAATCACAACTCAGTGGTCTTTTCCCTTTGCCAATTGCCAATACCCAGGGATTTATGTATGCCCCTGTTTGTGTCTTGCTAGACTCGCACGCAAGACACATCTTGAGGCAAACACTCTGTGCTTTTCAAGGGTCAGGAGTCAGAGGAGTACAGTCGCGTCTTCAGGTGATGATTTTCTGTTACTGTTTTAATCGGGAGGGGAGGGGTCACTTCGAAACGGATACATACATCTTTGAATAGTGGCAACGCCAGCAACGCCATACCAACCCAGTGCAGTTCAGTATGCCGATGTGGTTGGCACTTCTTAGGCTGCTTTACAGATGGCATCTCCACATCTTGAGGGTGTTGAACTTGCTCTACAAAGAAGCCATCTCCAGAGGTGTGAGATGGGGTGTGTAGAACCACCCGTTTCAGTGGTCATCCCACCCGTTTCAGGGAATCCCACTGGAGCAGACCAACCCCATGGTCCCCTGAAAGGCACTTCCTGCCCAAATGTCTAAGGCCTAGGCCCAAGTTGTGCTTCCTGGCCGTCACGTGCTCCGGCAAGCACCAAGCACCCCCATGCATCATGGATGCCACCGCATCAAGGAAATCAGAAGGAATTCCAAATGATCCGGATTCTCTATGGATCAAAAACGTACGCAGCCTATCTATGTCTCCTTGTTCTGTATCAAAGAAGACACCTCACTGGCTTTCATGCTGGATAGGAGGTTCTCTCACGCACACTCTCTCCATCTCTCCATCTCTCTGTATCTCTCTATCTCTCTCTCTCTCTCTATCTCTTTCTCGCTAACATGCACCCTATTTGCGTCAACATGTAGAACCGCGCACCCCAAAGAACGGCGCGACCCGCAACGATTTCAGAAAAGGCCGCCAGTTTGCGTCTGCTCCAAAAACGTCCCATCTGTTCTTCTAGGAAAGGAAAGAACGAAAACCAAATAGCGTGCCTTGCAGCATCTCTGAACATCTTCAGAAGCTGATCTCTGGTCGGCCAGGTCCTCACATCGCTCTCCCAGCTGAGGACTCGAAGCCGGCACCAACAAATCACCCCTTTGGAGGTGAAGCGAACGAACCCGTAATACAACCGGTTCACCTGCGATCAATTTGGGAAACGGCCCTTTTCTATCCCTTGATCCTTACCAGGGCCTACAAGGCCGTGCATCTTGCGAAGAGACCATCCGAATTCGAGCGCCCGGGTGATCGGCTCCAAGTTCAGGTTGTTTCGGGGGTCACAGATGCGTCGGTGGTGCTTTTTCACCGGAAAATGGTCACAAGTCGACACTGCATAGGCTCTCAAGCTGTTTTCGTTCGTTCGGTGAGGACGAGACGGTCAGGTCTCGGTCTCTTCACCGCGGCGACGGTGGAAAGCCAGGGAGCTTGTAGAGGTCACCCTCAACTTCGTTGGTGGCCGGTTCATCGGGAAAGCCGAAGTCCACGTGGTAGTTGCCACTTTCGGTCTGCAGCTTGGTGTATTTGTTGGAGACCACCTCGGACAAACTCGGTCGAGAGGTTTAGAATAGACTGAAGCCGCCACTCCAATCAGAAGAGCCACTCTTCACAAGCCAGTCCTCTTGGTCTTTACGCACTGAGGTGTCCACTAACCAGGAGTGTCCACCAAAGCTGGATAGTCTTTCTAAGCAGACAATGTCCTGCAAGGTGTCGCGAGCAGAGGGGGAGCGACGCCAAAAGGGCCCCCATGCTTGCCTCAAAGCCAAGCATAAAGAGTCCCTTTGCTGTTCTTCCCTAGGCCCTAGCCCTACTCACGTGAGTCCTTCACTAGACATCCACCCCCCATCGAGTTGACGGACACCTACGAAACCTAGGTTTGCTCAGCACGAGTCACCTACTTGTCCACTGGACATTCAAAACAATACCTGGTCAGACTGGTCAGACTGCTGTTTGAAGTCAGTCAGAGTGACCATCTGTGATCTGTTCCTCTCCTTTCGACCTGACTGCATTAAGCCGATCATCGTCTGCATGCCACCCAGCCCGGCACCAATCACCTCATCGGTGCAACCAGTCGGTCGTGTGCCGGTGGGTCAATGGGTCGGTGGGTCGGAGGTGACCCGAGGGGAGGCCTTGGAGAGCTATTGTGTTGTTGCTGCTTTGGCCTCGCAAACATGCTGTTTGAAGTGCTCATTTGCCACTTCTGTGGAACAGAACCTTAAGTTAAGTTACAGCCAAACCTGCAAAGCTTCACGCAGTCGAGGCGGCCTTCGACTACGGCGTTACTTCTCCAAATCCGCAAGTTCCGCAAGCCTGATAGTTCAGTCCAAAACCCGCCTGAGGCCGCCTGAGCTTCCCAGCCACGACGCTGTGGTCATACTTCTGATGTGGTCGGTTAAAGCCTCGGGTCTCAAGCCCAGGATCCCCGCACGCATCGGATTCGCATCTGTTGAACCTACGCAATCGAACGGGAGGGTGGCCTCTGCTTGAGACACACGCAAGAGGCAACCAGTCAAAAGCATATGCACCTGTCAAAAGCACGTGCCTGGCGGGTTGGAAAGACAAAGCTGGCCAAGCACTGAAACACCCAAGCGATGTGCTGATGAACAAAGGGTCCCAACACGCACGGGAGTTTGAATGAACACGTTCTAAGTCACGCAAACTTTGTACTTGACACCTCCTCCAACACACACATCATCCAAGTCCAAGTAGCAAAACCCCTGGGGTGAGGATGCGAATCAAGAAATCCTTGATTTTTGGCTGAAGATCACACCACCTCTCAAAGGGAGCACCTCTTAATGGCTTCCCACCAACCAGATCCAGGCCAAGCAGCTCTTCACCCCAATGGCCACCACTTTGCTGGCGACCTCGTCGGAGAGGCGCTGCTTCACCGGGAAGACACCGACCTGCGTAGCGCAGGCGGGGCAAGTTTCGCCAGCGGTTCGCAGCGACGCGGTGGAACGAGCGAAGCAAACAACAAAAAGAATGCGGTTCAAAACAACGACGGAAAGAACTATAGACTTGTCTCATGTGGATTTGGAGTACCAAAACCATCCAAAACCCATCTCTGTTTTCTTTTGAAGAAAGTGTTCTACCTCTGGATCAGTGCAAGGGCCCCACTCGATGTTTTTGCAGGGCCGCCCCCACCTCGGTGGAAGTGTGGAACGAGACATCTTGATTTTGGTCCGATGATTCCAAGCTTGGAGTTTGTGTGTTTGTGGGAGCCTGGATTGTTTGGGACGGATGCTAGTGACCAGTGAGAAGGGATCCTTTGGGAACAGGCGAACAGGCTCGGTCACCAAGCTTCAGTTCCTCAATTCTTGTAAAAACTGCTGGATGTCCTCTCTAGCTTCTTCTTCATCGAAGAAACTCCCAACAGACCGCGAAGAAACTCCCAACAGACCGCACTGTTCTGCCTTTGAGATGAGTTGGATCTTGTCTGCATCGATCTTGGTGAAGCTGCCTGAGAAGCTCAGGTCGAGCGATCAGAGGGATGGCTCAGAGCCGTCCAAACCCTGCAACAAAAGCATTACAGTATGTAGAGCATAGTTTGTCAGACCCAATTGAACAAACCTCCACCCGCTCGATCTTCATGTGCTTCTCTTGCTTCTCCAAACTTGCCACCGGTGTCAAAGTCAGGTCTCCTTCATTTCAAACCCACAAATGTGTTTCAAAGCTGCCGCTTAGCACTGGTTGTTTGGACACCCCGGTTTGCAAAACATGGCCGACTGTTATAGTCAACCACTTGGAACACTAGGTCACTAGGTGTTGACAAATTGTCTGGGGATCCTTCTCTCAGGCAAGAAGCTGTGGCGCAAAACCAGGGGACCTTGGTTGACCTACAGTTCAAGTTGCAGGGTGGGCCTGACCCCTCCCCAACTGAGAAGACCCAATCCACTCGCAGACCGAATCCACAGTGCCAGGCTGCTCACGATCTCCCGAACCTCTGGTGTGCGGGTGCTGCCTTGGCTTCCCACGGCCCTTCGACAAAGAAAATGGCTCTCAAACGGGGGATCTCTTTTGAAACGGGGCGCCTGAGATGATCTTGGATCCACCAGCCTCAAATGTCGAGGGCTTGTAGCGTTTCTTTTTCGCCTTCCGAATGACCCCCCCCCAGGGCTTTTTGTTTCTTCCGTTGTTCCTCATCATGGTTCGCCGATGTCGAGTCCCAACCCGGACCAGCAAAGTGAGGCCTGAGGCCTTTCACGACTGGTCCAGTCCGAACTCTGAAACCCCAAGAGAACCGAAGACGTCTCGCAGGAGGTTCCTCCTCGGGTCTTACTGCACCGTGCAGAACAAAACCACCCGGTCTCGACCTTTCCAAGCAAATGAACATCCGGTCGTTGGAGTGCAGTGGCTATCGAATGTTGTCTTGTTTGCCAAAGGAACCAGGAACTTCTGCTCGGGCGCGCGAGTCAAGTTGTCCCGCTACTGCGAAGAGCCGTGTCTGGCCGAGCCGAGACCGCGAAGAGCTCGGCGGAGTGCCCTTGGCGCGCTGTGCCCTGCGTCCCAAGCAGCCAGAGGCTCCGATGGTGATGCACTCGGTCTCATCCTGCTTCTTCGTAGGCGTTCTGTTCGGTTCAAAGAAACAGCTCCCACATCTTTGCAGCTACAATTTCACCGTGCGATCCCCGGCGAGTTTCCGGGAACGGAAAGGGCCTGTTCAAAGGGAAACCCTGCCTCATTGTAAATCTCAACCACTCGTGTAGCTTTGCCACTTGTGATGATGCCAGTCTCAACCTGGCCACGGTAGTTCAGTGCAGTGCTAAGCCCCGCTGTCTTGGGTGCAGCTTTGGATGACCTGAATTCTTCATCGAACTGTCTTGGGAATCGGGGACAGCCCGGCTGAGCACCTCTCTTCCTTCATAGCTCCAAATCCAAACGAAGGCAGTGTTTCACTAGCTACTCTCACGAAGCACGGCTAGAAACAGACCCAGCTTTGCACTGGCAAGTTGTGCCTCAAGAGAAAGGGTGCGGAGGGGACGCAGGGAGCTCTATTGTGAGGGAATCACTCATCACTACATTCTTACAGACAGAAGGGTGGCCCTACCTCAAGAGCTTCTATCTTTCATATATATATATATAAATATGATTATATATGTGTTTATGTATGTAGATATCGAATCTAGTATCCATGGGGGGCGCTCCATCTTCTACCCCAAAACCACGTGGCTTGCGCGCAGAAACTTGTGGTCGCGGCTGCCTATACTTGCTTCTCGGCGCACCTTTTTGACCCAAACAACCGAACAACCAACCATCACCTTAGGCTGTCAAACCATGTTAAGGAAAGCGCTAAATTCCTATGGCACTATGGCTTTGCCATTTGGAGGTGGTCGTCTGCCATTAACTTCAGTGGTCCATGTCGCCTCCAATGAGAGGACTGCTCGACGTACATTTCGGAGATACACTTTGCCAATCTCTTTGGGAGTTTCTGTGCTGGACCAGCAAATATGTCCCACAAAACTGGATATGTGTAGGTCAAACCTTGCTCCATGTTGCAGTTCGGTGGCTGGAGATTGGAACACGATGGAACACCTTGTTGCGGTGCCACCAGCAGCACTCTGACTCAGCCGTAGGCAGCCACTTCCCCCACATGCACCCGCCTTCTCTACTTTCGGCCTAGGCAGCTGGCATGCCAGGGGAAGGAGGACCTTTAAAACTCTAGCAGGCTAGCTGAGGTCTCTTTCAAACCACCAGTATACAAGGGGAACAGCAAGCTTCGCAGATGGCGCACCTGTACATACGAGTGCCTCCCAAAAGCGTCAAGATGGAATTAAAACTATTGCAGTTGTTGTAGAGGAAAAAACTAACTTCCAACATGTGGACCACCAGTGCCCGAGGAGCGACAAAACCTGGGGTTGTTGCGCCATCTGTGAATCTTCTCATGGTGATATTGATTATGCTGAGATGCCGGAATGTGGGAAACTTCAATCACATGTCACATCCATGTCAAACAATCGTTGTTCTTCTAAGCATCAATTCTGGCCTTGCCAACTCTAGGTGCCTTGCCGATTGCCGACTGGAATAAGTTGTTCTTCCACGTGCACCATCGCGGCCGGCCTAGGAGTTGCCCATCCAGGTCGTGAAACTCAGCGACACGCTGAGCTGGGGCCACAAGCTCTGACTGAGCTGCTCGATGGAAAGGCCCAAACTCCACCAACTTGAGATGGATGCTACCACCGACCACTGACCACCACCGCCCCGAGGAAAAAATAATGATCATCTGGGGGCGGGAGGATGTGTGTTGCCGAAAACACGGTCCGTCTAGGATTCCGTCCAAAGGCTCCAACTCCTCAAGTGGACAGGAGAGCGGTCTTGGAGCACATCTCATGGCAGTCCAACAACGAAGTCTGGGGCCCAAGAGGTGGGCTGTTCCTTCGTTTTGGGCGTCCCAAACCGTATGCTTCGTATGCTGAAGAACGGACTCAAACCCATGAAACATCTGGTATCACTACACAGCGGAACCGTCGTTGGAACCTGAGTGAATCTGCAAGGCTCTCTTCTGGAATCAGCGGAATCCGCCGCAACTCTCAGTGTTTCGCTCATTGGTCCAAAACGATCTTCCAAGAGTCCAAGTTCAGAGCCCAACCTGGGGACTTTCAGGATGTACCCTTTGCTATCTTCGCGACTTCTCCGACCACTTCCCGCTTTTTAGAGCCCTTGTTCCACCGGCTTGCGAACAACGGGCATCCCGAAACAACTACCCTTGGACCCACTGAGGCCACTGCGCAAGAGGCCGGCTTGGCGAGGGCCACGGTTGAGAAATCTCTACATGGAATCGAGCTGAAGAAGACGACGCCACGGCCGAGGAGACGTTCCGGTCGAAGATGCAAAGTCTTTTCTTTCCTCATGGTTCGTCTGTTCCTCATTGTTGGTCGTTTTATTCTTCCATCAGGATAGGATTGATATATTGGCTTGGCTTGCATATAATATATATATATATTTTTAAAATACATATTGCATATATATATATATGATTATATATGGATCATGTCCACAACAATCAAACAATTCTGTGGCCAACCCAAAAAGGTCAGAGTCTTCACCGACCTACCAAGTGGTCCCTTGCCGTCGCTTGCCTCGGTCGGGCCCCAACCCGTGGTCCGCTCAAGTGGTCCGCTCCGTCCGCTCCGTCAGCGGACCACACTGGGCACTTCACTTCTGTGCCACCGCAAAGAGGTTCTCATTGTGGAGCGTTTGCACCTCTGTCCATCCGCGGAAGAAGTCCGAGGTCTCGGGACAAAACCCCACATACCGAGACCCGGGACGGTGGATGTTGAGGTGGAAGCGGCTTTTGGCATGTTCTGAAAACCTCTCAGGTTTCTCCAGGTCACTTTGAGAGCCAGTTCTTGAGCTCCCTGTGTGGCATAAAACTTCCAAGGCGTTTCCACGCAAGGTGATCCCCCTCCAAAAGACTCTGCCGTCGAAAATCTTGCTTCGCGGACGGCTTCTTCGTTCAAAAGACCCATGACATCGAAAGACGCAAGGACATGCGATGATGAGGGTCTGGGCGGTCTGGGTCTTGGGGTCTTATGGGTCTTCATCCATGGTTTCCATTCGGTTCTGGCCATCCGAGTTGCAGCGAATGCCACGCTCGCCTGATGGGTCTGATGTTTCTTCACCGCACCCTGCAGCCCCTCCTCCGCAGCCTCCGCTTCGCCGCAGCCTCCTGCTTTCACTCCCCCCTTCCCGCGGGCCCTCCTAGGAGCCCGAGCCGCTCGGACGGTCTCCTTGAGGTGAAGCTCACAGAAGATCTTCATCGACTCCTCAGCGCCGCGGTGCGGTCCGGTGCGGTCGACGCCGGTCGACGGACGAGACGGTCGCCCTTCACGGGGACAGCGAACGCTGTCAGACCGGCGAGCAGAAGGTGTCGCAGGTAGTGCGAGACTTCAAGGGAGAGAAAGCTCATGAGTCGCAAGAAGCTAGTAGGTTGGAGGCCAAGAAGCTACTAGTTATGGGTGCTCATGGAATCATGTGAAGATGAGAATCTCATGGATTGGTCGCAAAGGTGGCAACAAGTTTCCGGCAGAGGGGTCCTTCTTTGGCTGGCACCAAAAAGGACTGCGAATAGGAGTGTTTCTTTTATCCAGCAACAGTGGATAAGGGTTGATTCGAGTCACAAGGTTGTGTGACCATCCCTGCTTGCTAGCATGCCGCACTCAGCAAGCTTGCAGCTGGTGTCATGCCACCAGTTCCGACTGGTACAAGAGGCCGTGTAAAAGTGTGACCAGGTCATACCGGGCGTTTTCTTTGGGGCCCATCGCGTGCGGATCCTTTTGTCGGCGGTGACTCCTTTTTCGCTCACCCAAGGGCAGTCTACACATGGCCCAAAGGGGCGGCTCAATGGGCAAGGTGTCTTCCCCCCCCGATGCACTCGGAAGTGTCAGCGGCTGATGACGCGAGACAGCGGGAGGCGGCGTTCTTAAAGAGTTCGCGGCACGGATTAAGCCGTGCAGGGCTGGTGGCGGCAAGTCTAAACTCAAAGTGGGTGTGAAACATCTCAGTGAGTCTTGAGTGCATCTGGATAGGCCCCCGATGTGCCAGCATTTGGACGCCAAACATGGACATGGCCTTGTCTGCCACCAAACATACTTCTACTTGAAATAAATGGAGTCTGGATCGACTGACTCACCAACCCTGGCACCATGCAATTGGAAAACATCTGTTCACCCTTGGACAGTTACTCGCTCGCTGGCCCCGAGATTGACGGGAGATCGACCCGGCTCACTGGGCCGCTGGCAGCCTGCGAAACGGCTCCAAGGGGTGCGCAATGGGGTGCTTGGAGGGTCCCCAAGAGATGCGCCCTTCAAAGTCCGTTGGACATGTGAAGATACACAATTCGAGGGAACAGACCGTTTGCATACCCTTTGTACAAGTGGCCCTTTATATAAGCCCCAGCTCCCAGTTCACAGCATTCAGTGATTTTTGGCAAGATGAGGTATATCTAGGATTCCAACCACTCATTGATTCAATAGCCTTTACCGGACCAGCATTGTTTTACTAAGGATTATACACTACAAACCAGATCAACCATTTAAAATTTGTCTTGGACTTCCAAGGGTATGTTTCTAAAACCCTAAAAAAATCCGCACAGGATCTACTTTGAACCCCCTTCAGAGCGTAGCAAACATTAATAAAAATGGCACCCTGATGTCTTTGAAGGTCGTTGCAGTTTTATGTTTAATGGACAAGCCATGGCAAACCCCTTCAGCACCTGTGCAACAAAATACAATGCAAAACAACATCACAAATCGGGTGCCGGACCTCAACAGCTCTTCTCTGAGGTTGTTAGTTAGTTTCGTTGGAGTCTGCCAGCCTCCCTTTGGGCATCACCCTTAGATTTTGTGGAAGTCGAGTTCAATATCACTGCAAAGCTGCAACCACATCATATCCTGCAAGGCCTAAAGGAAATATTTACAAATTCATAAAAAAAATATATATACACACACCGAATGGTACCCAATTTGCTCACTCACGTACGGTGTGTTTTCTCTGAGAAACAACAACGATCGGATCGCCACCAAGTCAGTCAACTCGATCGCGCAGTCCCTCCGTCCCTCCGGGGGGCCGCCTCTTCGGCTTCTCGCTTCCGCCGCTTGGCTTGGCGCTTGGAGGACTTCTCAAGGTGCGCAGGGAGAGCCTCATCCGGCGGCTCCTGGCACCAAAGCTGCTGAGGGAACTGCGAATCGAGTGTCAGGAAATAGAGAGAGAGAGAGAGACAGGGGGCATACCTCGAACTTCTTCAGTAAGAGTCCCTCTCCTCTTAGGGAACAAGAGGAAGTCTGCAATGACTTGCTTCAAACTCTTGGTTTTGTGTCCCACTTCACGCCAAGACTCCACCGTCCCCAGCTTCCCCGCCGGCTTGATGGCATCACATCTCACCAGTGCAGGGGAAAATATTGAGACGTTCACCTCATTGAACATTCAAAAAGAGAAGAAGAAGAAGAAGAAGAAGAAGAAG